TCCTATGAGCCGCGGTCAATTTTTTGCTCAGCGGGCGTTGTGCCAGCGAAGCGACCGGTTCAATGAACACACTTCCCGCAATCCCCAGCTCCGACCCCCACCGCCCAATCCACTGCTGCTGCAGTTGTGCAGCACAAGCTGTTTGGACTAGCTTGTAGAGCGCCCATGCGCTCTCGGAGCGAAGGTCATATATGAAACTGTCTACATTGATGGACCACGGCTGCTGAGACTGCCATCCCAGACGGCGGACGGTCCCCAGGAAGGCCCCAGCCGGGCCTTTCACGAGCGCCCAGGGTTTTGAAGCAGAGGCGAGGCGCATGGACCATCTCTTCCACGCTGTGACAAGCCGTTCCTGGAGCGTAGCATCGTTGGCAACATCGTGCCACGCCAACGACCACTGTACAATGGGGCCCGCGTTCGCACGAACGGCGGGGTCTGCGCCCTCCAAGAGGAGGGTGAGGGGCGTGGACCTGCCCGCTCTGCAGCCAGGGTAGGCCATGGCTGCAGCTTGCCTCAGATCCTGGATGACGGTGTCCGAGGCGCCGACCACCGTGGTCCCGTAGAGCGTCGTCGGGACTTTGGCGGCCGTGACGATCTTCTGTACTCCCTGCTGCCCACCTGCGCGTCGTAGCCGCTTGAGCTTCCGGCCGCGCTTCTGGAAGGTCTTGATCCGCTTGCTCTGGGCCCCCACTCGCCGGCGGCGGCCCGCGGCTGTGGATACACCGAGGTGCACTGCATGGCGAACGTGGCGGATGCCCAAGCTTTTCGTTCGGTCGAGCAGCTGGTCCTCGAGTTCTTTCGTGGAGGAGAGCGCGACTGTCTTGCCCTTCGCGCCCCGCGAAACTGGAAGCTGGAGGATGTTCTCGAACCTATAGATAATGAAATCGACGGCGTTGGCGTGCTCCCTGGCGACCTCTGTCACGTCCCCATGGTTGGCGACGGCGAGGTCGTCGTAGTACGCGCACAGGTCGATGCTGGGGAAGACGGCGCGGACGAGGTCGAGCTCTCTCATTAGGACCATCTTGAGCCCAACGGGCGCGTAGACCGATCCTGCCACAAGCCCCTGCGCCCACTCCCTGCCGCCTGCCACTGCCCCGTCGAGGACGACTCTCCGCATCATGGAGTATACGCGGAGAAAGGCCCCCAAAGGGGGGGGGGGGGCGGGAGTGAGACGGGAGGAAGACGCGACAACACTGCTCTTTTCGAAACGAGAACCCAACACCGGAGGGTTGGGAAACAACAGTACAAAGTGCAAGTTGCACCAACATCTGGGTCATGCGCGGACGCACCGCGATCACTTTCCATTGGCTTTCGAAAGGGACGGCAGGAGGAACACATGTTGCCTGCTGCGAGCAGTGCCAACTCCCCCCCTTGTCCCTTGTAAAGCAACGCACAACATGATCATTTCAATAACATCTGGGTCATGTGTGGACGTCACGCGATCACTTTGCATGGTTTTTGAAATGGCGGCGGGGGGCCGGCAAAGTGCCCGCTGTGTGCAGGGCCAACACCCCCGACCATCCTTTGCAACCAATAATATAAAGTGCACGTTGCGGCAACATCTGGATCATGCGTGTGCACCAAGCGATCACGTTGCATTGCTTTCTCAAGCGGACGAAAGGGGATGTCAACATATTGTCTGCTGCGCGCAGGCCCATCATCCCTGTCAGGAAAACACAACTATGTTTCTTGGCAACGGTCATGCGCGGAGGGCCTATGAACATGGTGCATGGTTATTTGGGAGTGATGATGGGGATGATGAGTTACGCGCGTCGCACCTCGCAGGCGTCGCGCACCTGGCTGGCGTTTACATTGGTTCCGGGACATGGTCGATGGCGGCCCTTTCCCATGCTGAGACTCGAGTGCGACTTATGCGGTGGGAGAGCAGGTGGGAGTGAGCGAGACGGCTGTCTTTCGGGAAGGTGAGCTTGGCCCCTCCCCCTACCCGATCCCCCTGAATCTAGAGGGGGCGCCCGGCGATCGATTGGAGCGCCCAAGAATGCCTCAGCGAGTTGGCAACAATCACTGATTTGTTTCAAGGTTTTGGCTCAATTTTGGCCTCCTGGGGTTGGGGGAAAAGGCAAACTGAGCACCTCCCCTTCTTTGATCGAGCTCCTCCAAGATGGCCCCAAGATGGCCCCAAAGAGTGTCCCAAGAGGGCCCGAGGAGGCGCCCAGGAGGCCCCAAGAGGCCCCCAAGAGGTCTTCAAGAGGCTCCCAAGACACATTCACAAGGCCCCAAGAGGCTCCCCCGAGGCACCCGAGACGTGCAAAGAGGCCCCGAGACCGCCAAGAGGACCCCAAGACGCCCCAAGAGGACTCCAAAAAGCTCTCAAGAGACATCCGACGACACTCCGAGAGGCATCCAAGACGTCTCTGGCCTTGCTGCTCGCTCCCCTCCTCCTCTACCTCTTCCTCGTCTGCCTATTCCTCCTCCTCCTCCTCCTCCCTCCTCCCTCTCTTGCTCCTTCTCTTCCTCTTCCTCCTGCTGCTCCTCCTCCTCCGATTCGTCCTCCATCCTCCCCCTCTTGGGGAATGACAGTTCCCCCAGTCCTTTCTTCCACTGCATGCTTCTCCACATCCCTGGTCAGGGCAGTTTGCCTGGTCATCGTTTCTGGATGGGCTAGTGGGGTCACTTTTTTTGGTTGGCGGCTCCTAGGCGACCGTCTAGGAGCGAGAGCGCTAGTGGGGTCACGCGAAGCGTCCAAAATTAATTCGGCCTTGACATGCAGACTCCTCCCGTAAAGCTGGCGTTTCTGGACGTTGCTGCAACCAACTTTGTTGTGTGCGGTGCACGTTTTCCACCAGTGCCGCCAATCCGAAGCTGCGATTCGTTGCACGTCCTTGGACCACCTGTGATCTGTTGCCATGTGATGTGGTAATCATACTTGAGATGCGTCGTGCTCCTTGTCCGCAATCTGCCCCGTGCATTTCGGAGTTCAACGTCTCTGTTCTACGTCTGTTCGCGATGCTTTCTACTGCGCTCTCCGTTGCGAATGACCACCTTGAACACCTAAAGCAGATCTTCTTTGCAATGTGAATGACCGTCATGCTGGCGTTCGTCTGCGCTGCAGTGGGCGCTTCGTGCCCGAACAGTTGTGGGTGGAACGAACGCTGTCGGGAGGGGGCTTACGACTAGGGCAAAGTGGCTCTAGAAAGAGGAGGGCAACGATTGGGACTATGCCAGCCGGGGGGACAGACGAGGTGGAGGATGCATGGGACCGTGACGAAGGAAGGCGAGGAGGAAACATGAGGCAGAATAAGGGCAATGGACGATCATGAAGAGTTTGAACATGATGGTGCTGTTGCTGCTGATGATAAAGATGATAACGATGAAGATGCTGATGACGCTGATGAAGTTTTTGATGATGGCGATACTGCTGCTGCTGATGATGATTGTTGTGAGGATGATGATGCTGCTGATGATGATGACGATGGCGATGATGATGACGATTATGACGACGATGATGATACTGATGCTGCTGATGATGATGATTATGATGATGATGGTGCTGATGACGCCGATGGTGATGATGATGGTGCTGATGCTGCTGATACTGATGATGCTGGTGATGGTGATGGTGATGGTGCTGATGATGAGGAGGAGGAGGAAGAGGAGGAGGAGGAGGAGGAGGAGGAGGAGGAGGAGGAGGAGGAGGATTATGATAGGACTGGAAGCAGGCAAAAGACAACGCGGAAGTGGGTGGAAAGGAGGCTGCGGAGGAGACTGAGGAGGACGAGGCCGAGGGGGCGGAGGATGAACAGCAGAAGCAGCAGCAGGAGAAGGAGGAGGAGGGGGACGGGCAGGACGAGCAAGAGGAGGAGGAGGAGGAGGAGGAGGAGGAGGAGGAGGAGGAGGAGGAGGAGGAGGAGGAGGAGGAGGAGGAGGAGGAGGAGGAGGTGGAGGAGGGGGACGAGCGTGGAGAGGCCGAGCAAGAGGACGAGGATGCTGTTGAGGAAGAGCTGACGGTGCGGGAGAAACGCGCTCACAGTCCGTCCAAAGAAAACAGGGGAGAGGCCGCGCCGTCTTCGTAGCCTGCTCCTCCTCCTCCTCCTCCTCCTCCTCAAGGGTCAACTCCTGAACCTGTCAAGGACTACATCCTGACCAGCATTCCGAGGGGAATCCGGCCGTGGCGACGAGAAGCCTCCTTTGCAGGCCCAGAGGGGCCCCCAATACGCTAGGAATCCTTCGGGATTCCTAGGAATCTTTCGGGATTCTTAAGAATCCTTATGAATTTCTAGGCGTCCTTAGGAATTCCTAGGAATCCGGAAGAATTCCTAGGAATCCTTCGGAATTCCTAGGAGTCCTTCGGAATTCCTAGATCATGTCGGGTACATGCCAACATTGATTATGGATCCGTGGATCTGGCGCGTGCGCGCCAGTTCCACGGATCGGGAAGGACAACCCCTGACACACTCAGCCATTGCCATCTGCTTTGGCGATGGAGCGCGCCGATCTTGCATGGAAGCGGGAACCGTCTCTAATCCATGCGCCTTATTCATGTTTGCGCTTCCTCTCCTCGAATAGACAGAGGAACCCCCCAACCCATAATAAGCTCCCCGACCAGCGAAGCCGTTTAGTAAACGCACCCAAGGCAGGAATCAAACATGGCAGGGCTGCTTAGTAAACGCCCAGGGCCGTTTAGTACACGCCACTCCCACCTAGGACGAGGCCAAGACGAGGATAAAATCAGGTGGGGATACATCGAGAATCTCTGAAATCTGGCGGCTCTGGAGGACGTCTCGGGCGCCACAACCTTCTCAAAGCGCGCCGGAACGCTCTGAGAGCGTTCCGGAACGCTCTGGAACGGATAAATCATGGCCGGCGGCATGTGCGTGGCCCAGGGGAGGAGGGAGGGCCAGGGACGTATCGAAGTAAGAAGATGTGCCATGAACTCTGAGAAGATCTTATGGCCCCCGCCATGATATTCACCCTCCCTAGTCATCACCCCCCTCCTGGCCGCCCCCGCCTCCCCTCCCCGCAGGCGCTGTGGCCCGCGCTGGCCCCCCGAAGCCCAGGCTGCGGCGGCGCGCCCGACGGGCGCGGGCATCGGCCCGCTGGGGGGTCGGCCGACGCCCACGGGCGCGCGCGCGCGGGCACACGCCTGTGGCTTGCCGCCCGCGGCAGTCAGGCGGCGCAATGGTGCAGCGGCGGCGGAGGCGGACCTCGATCCTCGACCCTCGGATCTGGGAAACCAAAGGGTACCGATGCCGCTGCTCCCAGGACCTCCGCTGGGGGTGCGCTCTTGCCAGGATTCCGAGGCGGATCCAACGGCGGTGACGAGGGCCTCCTAGGAGGCCCAAGAAGGGGACAACGAGGGAGGGGTAGCGGTATGGGTACCTTGTCCTCCTCTGACCCTCGACCCTCGGATCCTCTGACCCCCGGATACCCTCGACCCTCGGATCCTCTGACCCTCGACCCGCGGATCCTCGACCCGCGGATCCTCTGACCCTCGACCCTCGGATCCTCGACCCTCGACCCGCGGATCCTCCTCGAACTTCGACCCTCGACTCCTCGACCCTCGACCCTCGGATCCTCGACCCTCGGATCCTCCTCGAACTTCGAGGTTCTCGTCCTTCGACCCTCGACCCGCGGAGGCCGTGCTCCGCCGAGAGCGAAGCGCGCCAGGACGCGGGCGTAGCACTGCGAGAGGGGGGCGGCTCGGTCGGCCCGCGGGCTCCTGGGAGGGCCACGGGGGGTGACAGTGGGAGGACGAGGAGGGGGAGGAGGAGGAGGAGGGGGAGGAGGAGGAGGAGGGGGAGGAGGAGGAGGAGGGGGAGGAGGGGGAGGAGGAGGAGGAGGGAGGAGCAGGCTGAGGAGGAGGAGGAGGAGGAGGAGGAGGAAGAGGAGCATGAGGAGGAGAAAAGAGGGGGAATGAGGAGGAGAAGGCAGAGGAGGGCGAGGAGAAGGAGGAGTAGGAGGAGGAAAAAGAGAAATAGTAGTAGTAGTAGTCGTAGTCGTAGTCGTAGTCGTAGTCGTAGTAGTAGTAGTAGTGGTATAGTAGTAGTAGTAGTAGTAGTAGTAGTAGTAGTAGTAGTAGTAGTAGTAGTAGTAGTAGTAGTAGTAGTAGTAGTAGTAGTAGTAGTAGTAGTAGTAGTAGTAGTAGTAGTAGTAGTAGTAGTAGTAGTAGTATAGTAGTAAGTAGTAGTAGTAGTAGTAGTAGTAGTAGTAGTAGTAGTAGTAGTAAGTAGTAGTAGTAGTAGTAGTAGTAGTAGTAGTAGTAGTAGTAGTAGTAGTAGTAGTAGTAGTAGTAGTAGTAGTAGTAGTAGTAGTAGTAGTAGTAGTAGTAGTAGTAGTAGTAGTAGTAGTAGTAGTAGTAGTAGTAGTAGTAGTAGTAGTAGTAGTAGTAGTAGTAGTAGTAGTAGTAGTAGTAGTAGTAGTAGTAGTAGTAGTAGTAGTAGTAGTAGTAATAATACGAATAACATTACTACGAATACTATTATTAATTACACTACTAGTGATAATGATTATATTTACACCAACAATTACAAGACTAGTACTAACACTAACACTAATACTAGTATACTACTGATAAGGATGGTACTAATGATAAGACGAAGAATCACACTACTATTATTAACAACAATAATGCTAATACTATTATTATTGGTAATAATATCGCTAGTGACACTACTGATGCTAGGATTCATAATGCTAATCATAGTATTAATCAAAACAATACTAGTAATACTACTACTCATGGTAATACTCATAGCAATACTGATAATACGATTGCGAACAATAGTACTAACACCAATACTACTACGAGTACTACTCATACTAATACTAATACGGCTAATGTTACGAATAAAACTAACCGTAATATCAATAATGCTACTAATGATAATGCGGATAATTGTATGAATACTAATGGTACTTAACATTATGATAGCAATATCAATAACGATGACCACGCTCACAATACTACTAATCACAGTCACACTAGTAATACCACCATTACTAATCATATTAATAATACTACTACTCATGATACTAAAACTAATAATGCTAATAATATTATCAATACTCATGCCACTACTACGGCTACTAATAATACCAAGACTACTAATATTACTGAACATACCACTAATAATAGTAAACATACTAGTACTACTGATAAGACATGTAGTAATATTAATAATGCTAACAACAGAATATCAAGACAATCCTCAAGAGAACATGAGGGGGAGGAGGAGGAGAAGGAGGAGGAGGAACGAGGAAAAGGAATGAGGAGGAGGCAGAGGAGGGCGATGAGGAGGAGGGGGAGGAGGAGGAGGAGGAGGAGGAGGAGGAGAAGGACGGGGAGGAGAAGGAGGAGGAATAATAAGATGAGGAGGGGAAGATGATGAGGAGGAGGAGGAGGAGGAGGAGGAGGAGGAGGAATAGGAGGAGGAGGAGGAGGAGGAGGAGGAGGTGGAGGAGGAGGAGGAGGAGGAGAAGGAGGAGGGGAAGGAGGAGGAGGAGGATGAGGAGGGGGAGGAGGAGGAAGAGGAGGAGGAGGAGGACGAGGAGCAGGATGATGATGGTGACGATGATGCTGATGCTGATGCTGCTGAGGGTGATGATGATACAGATGATTCTGATCATCCAGCGCCCAATCCAAGCCAAAGATCGATTGTGTGTTCGCAGGCCAAGCAATTGCGCGACACGACGGACCGGCCCGTGCCGAGGATCAGCCGGCAGCGGAGGAGGAGAGGGAGCAGGAAGGAGGACACCGCCACCGACCAGGAGCGGAGGGAGAGGAAGGGAAGGGAGGGCGGGCGAGAGAAAAGGCTATGGAGCAGATGCACATGTTAGCGCCTGTAGCGAAACTCCGACATCTGGGAAGTGAGCGTCGTCGCCGTCAGGCGAACGTATCTGGCGGCTCTCATTTTGTTTTGGATTAAAACTCAAAGAACGACCATCCAGCGCTCCACCCAAGCCAGAGATCGATTTCATGTTCGCAGGCCAACCAACAGCACACGACGACGGACCGGCTCGTGCCGAGAATCAGCCGGCAGCGGAGGAGGGGAGGGAGCAGGAAGGAGGACACCACCACCGACCAGAAGCGGAGGGAGAGGAAGGGACCCGAGTCCCAGGAAGGCCTGGCCAAAATGGCCGTCAACACTGTTTAGAACATGATGAACTGCTGAAGCGGGCCAAGTGAAGACCATGGACGCAATAGATTATAGCTGCGACGATAGTCGAAGCCATCCGGCGGGGATAGCTCTGGGCGACCTGGGCCCACAGCTTGCCGGAGGCCGGGTCCCGGCCCGTGAAGACTATGTACTGATTGCCAGAGTGAAGGCAGATACCACCACGGGCATTGCATAACCTGGGCAGCGTGATCTTGAAGCCGCTTCCCCAAACATGGACCTGGGTCCGCTCTTTCCACCGGGTCCCAAATCCGCGGAAGTCAAAGACGAGGCTCTGGGGTGAGGGAGAAAAGGAGAGTCAGACGAGCGGGGGGGCGGACCAGAGGAAGGAGGAGGTAGGGTTTTCGGGGAAAGCGGGGATTCCCTGGCGCCCGCAAGCCCGAATGATTTTCAGGGAAAAGCCAGCGGCGGCGGCGCGGCCTCCCAGGCCCAGAAGGCCCCAAATGGAGTTGGGCGCACGGATCCTGCGCCAGCTGCTGTCGGGGGGCTCGCGCCGAGCCTGCGAACAGCTGTTGCGCGGCGTTCCCAGCCAGACGGCCCGGACTACTCCCGAAGAGACCCAGCCGAGGAGGGTGTGTTGGATGACCGGGCGGTCCAATTCAAACCAAGGCCGAGAAACGAAATCAGGAGCAATCGCCCCGTGCCCCAGATTTTTCACCCCTCGGCCGAGCCCCTCGGTCCCTGCAAAGAGCTCGAGGAAAACCTGTCTTCGATTGCGACTGGCGGCCGCCGTCGCAGCGCGGAGCAACGAGCGCAGGCGGGCGATCGCGAGGCGGTCACTCAGCGGCGCCGCGTCTGGGCCACCGGGGCCTGCGCCAGGGGCCCGGCCGTTCCGGCGAACGTGGCGCCGAGCTGCTCCGAGACGCGGTCCCCGTAGTCCACCGCCTGGGGGGAGCTCGGTCGAGCTCCGAAATCTCCCGCGTCTGCTTGGCGTAGCGCTTGAGCGTCGTGTCCGATGCCCAGCGCCGCCGGAGTTTCACCTCCAGTGGCGTGCGGATGCGATGGAGAGGATCGTGGGGCGCTCTTCCGTGGCAGAGCCCGTGCGCTGTGATCCCCAGGTCCACCAGCTGGAGCTCGGCTGCGGCCTCCGCCAGCCGGGCTGACAGGTCGCCCTGGGGGAACTGCCAGATGCGGTCCGTCGGCGCCTGGGCGCGGGTCTTCAAGACCTGGAGGCAGGGGCGCAGAAAAATCGGCGAGTCCAGGGGCGCTGCGTCGTCCCATGTGTTCGTCTTGCTTGGGGCGGATCCGCTGGTGCCAGCGACGGGCCCCAGGAGTTCGCGGCCCCGCCGGCCGCCTCGACGGGGGCGACCAGCTGGAGCGACGCGAGCGAATCGCATTCGCCAGGCCGAAGGTACGCAGCGAACGAGAGCAGGGCAGCCACTGCGTGTTCCACCAAGCCCCGGTGGAGGAAGACCCCCGCGATCGCGGCCAGCAGGGCCCGCGGCGCCGGCATGCGGTTCTCCCTGGGCGCGACCTTGCCCTGGCCGGCCAGCGCGCGCGAGGTGCGTGGGAGAGCGCTCGCTCCCCGCCGGCCCAGGTCCGGGTATGGGGGCTTCATGGCTGCGACCATCTTGCTGGCGTCGTCGCCCGTGAAGCCCCCGAAGAACAGCTTGTCCAGGAAGAGCGCCAGGCAGACGCGCAGCTGCTCGTAGCTCTCCCAGCCCGGGCGGACCGACGTCACCCAGTTGAGGAAGGTCAAGGCCCGGCGGCGATAGTCCTTGTAAGTCGCCTGCGCCACCGGCCGCCCCTCCAGGTAGGACAGCTCGGCCAGGGTCGGTAGGGTGAAGGGCGTCGGCGGCAGTGGCAGGCAGCGTTGGCGCGCGGCCGCCTGCGCTGCGCTCGGGATCCGCGTCTGCCCCGCCTGCCGCGCGGAGGCATCCGGCACCGGCGTCCTCGTTGTGCATGGCCCCGCCCTCGCTGAAGGCAGGGGGCGGTGGGGTGGCTGGCAGCGCGCCGGCGTCGGCGACGGCAGCCGCAGC